GCCCCGCCCGGACCACGCCCCCCGGCAGCTCCGCGCGCTCCGCTCCTCGGGCCCTGCGACCCGCCTGCCTGCCTGGGGGACCATAGAGCCGGCTCCCTGCCCTGGAAACCCCGCCCGGCAGGGGAAGCAGGGGAAGGCCTCCGTCCACCTAGCACCCCTCTTTCCTACTTCCCCCCACCCAGAGATAAACCAAACGGAGCTGGTAGACAGAGCAATGTTGGTTTGTTGCACACAAGATGCTGCCTCCACACAGAGCAGGGGCATGAGGGTGAGGGTAGGGATGCCCGTCTCCGCCCAGGGCTGTGGTGCTAGGCCTGGGCAGGCGGTGAGGGCTGGAGCGCAGGAGCACCCGCAGGGTCCTCGGGGGCCAGGCCGGTGCGCCGGATGCTGTCTTGGTACTTGTGGCGGCCAAGTTCTAGGACTGCACGAACCTCTTCTGCCACATCTTGCCGGTCACTTTGCTCTAGGGCCTTCACCAGAAGCTCCACGGCCCCTGGTTGTCCAGCATGGCCTTCAGCCCAGGAGAAGAGCATGTGGCGGATCTGCCCATCCAGGTCGTCCCTTGGAGACGGAGAGATGCCAAGAGTGTCTACCCGGGACCACCCACCAAACTCGGGAGCTTGCTTTTCCCAAGGCCAGTGTTCCTTCTGCCTCCCTTCCCTGGAAGATACGTCTACCACTAGCAAGCCAGGTTCCAGAGGAACCACGGCCCACCCCTGCGCCACAGCTGAGGCTCACCGGAATTCATGTCGGATGCGCTGCAAGACGCGGTAGGGCACGCCCAGATGCAGGGCCACAGTTGGCCAGTCAGGACCCAGGCGTCCAGCCACGCTCAGCAGGTTGCTCTGCGTCAGGAAGCCCGTCTCTGCGTCGCCCAGGTTCAGGGGCATCAGGGAGAGGCCAGCCCCTTGCCAGTGGCCCCCAGCCCCTTGGAGTCTCTGCTGAGAGGAGAAAAGTGAGCCTGACCCGGCCCCCCATCACCAGGAGGGCTGCTCTTCCCCTCCAGCGCCTCCCACCAGTCCCACCGGCAGCTTGATGGGCAAGGTGGCAATCCACAGGGCATCCGCGCTCTTCTTCTGCCGGGCGGCCTCGGCTTCCGGGGGCACGTCTACAGGCACCGAGTCACGGTAGAAAGACACCTGAGGGAGGGTGCAGTGAGGCTTGGCACTCGGGCACTGGCAGGAACCTGGGAGGCCCGGCCGCATCAGCCCACCTGGCCTCGCACGGCCTGGGCCTCCCGGTCCAGGGTGGTGCTGACATACACCTCCTTCACGTTCTTCAGGTGTGAGTAGAAGACGAAGCAGATCCTGCCATCCACACAGTCTGGACGGTCTGCAGTGGGGGACAGACTCAGCAGGAGGGGCAGAAGGGCCAACCCTAGGCTCTCTGGGCATGAAGTCCCTACCAGCATCCACATCGATGCCGCGCTCAAAGGCTGCGAAGAATTTCTCGCCTTCGAACATCTCCACAGTATCGGAGGGCTCCGGGCCCCGGTACCGCTCCAGGAGCCGCCTGAGGGTGGCATCCACCTGTAAGAGTTCCCACAGGACTTGGCGCCCTAAGCCCTGTTCCGGCCCTGGCCTCTGGGTCGCCCGGCTGCCCACCAACTGGCCCACCTTGTTCCGGGGCAGACACTGCAGCAGGACTTGCTCAGGGTCCCGGCGCCTCTGCAGTGCGATGAGGTTCACTCGGTGCAGCCGCAGCCGTGCCCAGGCCTTCCGGGCTAGGCCCTCCACACAGGTCTTGGTGGTGTACCACAGCCAGTACCTGAGCAGGCCGGAAGTGGGGTGTGGCTGGACAGGCCAGGGGAGGGCACTGACAGACCGGGGACACTGAACAAGCTGGGTGGGAGGCACTGACCAGGAGAAGTGTGTGACCTGGAAGCGGGCATACAGGTGGGTGAGCTCCAGGGCCACCTGAGCTGTGATGTCATCCCAGCTGGCTGTGGGAGGGGCCCGGTACAGCAGGTGCAAGCGGGAACGATCCACGCTGAAGCCTGGGCGGGAAGGGGTCCACCATGTCAGGGCCCTGTCCCTCCGCCCTACAGCCGCAGGTTCGAGGACGCGGCCTGGCAGCCTCACCTGAGACACCGGGGGGCAGGGGCAGCTGCACAGTAACGGGCTGGAGGAACTCGGGGGGCCCGCTCTGGGACAGGCACAGCAGGGGGCTCACGGCAGCATCTGGCTCCCCGAGGAGGGCACGCAGCTCTCGGCCAGCCATGCGAACCACCTAAGCAGAAAGGGCGCGTCGGCGCTCACCGGTGGGCCGGCCCCACCCCCACTCCTGGCTACCCGAGGCACTGCCCTGGCTGTACCTGCATCGAGACGTGACAAGGCTCCTCCGTGGCCCCGGGGGGGAAGGTGACCTTGACCCCAGGATGACCAGAGGAGCACAGAAGCGTCCCCTCGGGGGGCACCAGGCAGGTATTGGACACAGGACGCAAAACCACAAGAAACCAGGAGAAGTGGAGCACCCTGCAGCGAGCCCAGAGCCGCGGGGAATTTGGGGTGAAGAGACAGAGTTGAGGGGGATGGGGATGTGGAGGTGAAGAGACAGAGTCTGGAGCCTGTGGGGGTGAAGAGACAGAGAGCGGGGGATGTGGAGGTGAAGAACAGAGCTGGGGGCCCTTGGGGGTGAAGAGCCGCCGGGCAGCCTCACCTTGGGGGCCTCCTCCTCCACGTGGGTCTCCAGGTCGCTCCACCTGCCGTCACTGCGGGTCCTGACCACCACTTGGCGGCAACGCCGCGCACACGGGGGCTCGAAGCGCAGCCACAGGCTCACGGCCTGCTGGGGGACCGGGTGTGAGCGCCAGGGCCCGCGGTCCCAGGTCCCGCCCTCCCCCACATTCTCCCCGGCCCTGCCTGCTGGAAGGCCAGGCTGTGGGGCTGCAGCTCTAGAACGCGGCTGAGCAGGAAGTCGTGCGGACCCAGGGAGACGAGGCCGGGCTCCGGGAGCCACAGGCGGTAGTGGATGGTGAGGGGGGTGGTGATGGCCCCTGCTGGGAAGTGCAGGCGGACACCGGAGGCCAGGGTCACAGAGCAGCCGCGGGGGGTCACCGAGAAGCTGGGTGAGGAAGAGTGGGAGTGAGCGCAGACGTGAGAGGCCACGCGAGGTGTGGTGTCTGGCGTCTCCAGATGACCTGCAGCTCCCTGCCCCCATCTCATACCTGTCTAAATCTGACGTCAAGAACAGACGGGGCATTTCTGGGTCCTGGGGTGCTGCTGTGAAGGGAAGGGCCCCGAGTTGGAACGGTGGCAGGGCCAGACCCCCCGCAGCCTGCCCGCACCCCGAGGCCAACCTGGGGGTGTCCTGCCGTCTGGGGATGCTTTGCCAAGAGGGTTCCCCTGCAGGCGCACAAAAGGGGCGTCTAGGAGCTCGGGGGGCAGGTCTCGGAGCTGGTTGTCCCTCAAGTCGAGGTGCATGAGCAGCGGGAGGCGGGCCAGGCCCACAGGCACGGAGGTGAGAAGGTTGCTGTGCAGAACGAGCAGCCGCAGCGAGCGGAGCCCGGCTGCAGGCAGGCAGGGGCTGAGGGCTGCCCGGGGCCTCCCCCGGCTCTGGGGGACCCCAGCAGGACACCCATGCTTCAGACTCTCGGGAGGACCCTGCCCCACAGGAGGACAGAGCTGCAGGTGAAGATTTAGAGGACAGGGAAGCAGCCAAGGGGTAGGCGTGGAGAAGAGAACTCTCAAAGGCCAAGTGTATGGGTGCAGGGGTTCTGTGGCAGAGGAGAGAAGCCAGAGCCCCAAGACTAGAAGTGGGCAGGACCCTGATGGGAGCGATGGTCTGGGCCAGGCCAGTGCCTGCCCCCGCTCGGGCCTGTCCCTGGGCTGTCCTTTACTGGGGCACAGCTGCTACTCACCAAGCGAGGCTGGGAGGTTCCGTAATTGATTGGAGGCCAGATTGAGTTCACAGAGGCTGCTCAGTCCCCCAATCTCAGGGGGCACAGCATCCAGAAGGTTCTCGGAGAGATCGAGGCACTGCAGTGTGGAGCTGGCGCCCAGCGCTGTGGGCAGCCTCCGCAGGCAGTTGTGTGTCGCAGTGAGGAAGGTGAGGGCGGGCAGGCTCCCCAGGGCCTCGGGCAGCTCTGAGAGGCCGTTGTGAGAGAGCAGGAGCGCGGCCAGGCTGTGCAGCTGCAGGACGCAGGCTGGCAGGGTTTCCAGCCTGTTGAAGCTCAGGTCCAGGTGGGCCAGGTGAGCCAGGCCGCTCAGCCCGGCGGGGAGTGTGGTCAAGGCACCTCGGAGGCAAGCACCCAGGGGCCCTCGGTTCTGCCCTCCTGGAAGTGAGAGAAACAGATGCAGGTGTGAGAGGTGGCGTCCCAGCTGGGCCCTGCCGGCGACAGACCGCTGCCCAGAAGGTACAGGTCTCTGCCGCCCGACCAGCCAGGAGACGGCGGAGAGGCAGAAAGGGGAGCCAGAGATGGAGATCATGAGCTGCGTTCGTTGTCAGCATCATCCGTGACTAGGAGGACGGACGTGCAGAGTGGCCCCCTAGGGCAGCTTTATGGTCCCAGGCCTGGAGGCCAGTCAGCCAGCCCCAGTCTGGGGGGAAGATGCGCGGGCTGTGGACAGGGACTGGGAGCAGCGTGGGGCCCACACCTGGGAAGCAAGGCCGAAGAGCCAAGGCTTGCCTTGAGGACCAAGAAGGAGGGCCAGAGATGGGAACCGGGTTCTCACCTTTGAGGACGAGGGACCGGAGGTGCAGCAGGCTCCAGGGCACCTGGGCCAGGGTGGCCTCCAGCAGCCCAGGGTCTTCGTGGGTGCTCAGACGCAAGAACTCCACGCGCAGCAGCGGCAGGGGCTGCTGGGCGCACAGGTGCAGCAGTCTGCGGCAGCCCCCGGGGTACAGGTCCAGGTTCAGCTGGGTGCCCGGCGCGGCCTCCGCAGCATCTGCAGCTGCACCCGCGGCTTGCTCCGGCACTGCATCCATCACCCACGGCGGGTCCTCGGGGGCCGGACATGTCCCGGCTCGCCGGGCAGGCCTGCTCGGGCAGGGCCCTGCAGGCGGCAGAGGCGGGAGGGAGGGAGGGAGGGAGCGGGGCCGCGCGCGCCTCAGCGGGG